TTTGCAGCCCGCCATTCTTGCGTACAGAGCAGCTCAGGCCAATCTCTCGCAAGGAACGATGGATGCTGCTGCACCGGCCATTACATCGGCGCAGACGTCACCACGACCTTCACCCGCTGCCCAAGAAGATCTGGCTCTCTTGATGGGTGTCACTGAAGCCGCACAATCCCCTCATGAGCTCATGCTGAACCTCAGCGTCCTCTTGACGAGGTTGTCTCCTCCCCAACTGCAAGGTCTGGCAGCCCTGATGCAAGCGCAGAGCAAGCGTCAACAAGAGCAGCAGGCCAAGCTGCAGATTCAAGGTGGCGCCTCGGGCACCGCAGGCTCCAACGGCACCTCGCCAGCGCATGGCGCCGGTGCAGCTCAGCCCAGCTCAGGCGGTTTCAAGCCTCCGCAGACTCGTCCACCTTCGGATCCCTTGGCAGCTGCAGCCGCAGTCAGCAATCTAGCTGCTTCCTCAGCTGCCGTCGCGGCTCAGAAGCAAGCGATGTCTGTGTCTCCTTCCACCTCGTCATCAAGCCCGGCGACGAATCCTATGCGTGGGTCCGACAATCCTCCTGTATCCAAAGAGCCGCCGAGGTGAATTTTCAAATGCCGAATCGCGAATGCGCGATCCAGATACAAGTCATGCGCTTTATCTACCTACAGCACAAGATCGGGTCAGATGAAATGCTTGCGCTGGCCTTGTGTAGCTCGTTCGTCGTGGCGTGTCTTTTGGAGCTGTGCTTTGATCAAGTGCGACCGTGGCAAGAGATCAATTTTCAAAATCCCGAATGAAACGCGTCGGACCACATGGAGCCCTTCAAACACGTGGCATGAGGATGTGAATGAACGTAGAACGTATGCAAACCCGGGCGAAGACTTGACGACGCTTCACGGATAGTCCGCCTTGACGCTTGCCGTTCTGGCAGGGCGCAGGGCTGTCTGACGCGCGGATCTCGCGCAGATGCGATGATGAGGTCATGAGAATTGCTAGAGGAAGAGAAAGTGGCTGAGTACCTTATGAGGTGCCGATTTCGAGAAAAAACAAGACAAGGATATCGAATCGCAGTGTGGAAGGAGGCTATTTGACAAGGGCATTGACGAAGGGTGGTGCAGGGTAAGGGAAGGGGGGAGGGTAGAGATCCGCTTAGGTCGAGACATTATGACAATCTTACTAAAAGAGCGCGGACAAGTGGCGAGGAGGGAGTGTCTGCTGGTTGCGACTTGGCACAACACTGACATCTGTGCTAATGCGAGGCGCCCAAAGACCGTGAGGCAGGAGCTTCTGGCAGAAGCAAGTTTGAATAAGCCAGGAAGATAGTGGGTGATTGTGGGAACGCATCGTCAAGTCAAAGAATCGATGATGATCGTGAATCATGATCCCACCTAAGCTATTTCCACAAAATACCTTGAGAGCGAAAAGTTGCTTCGCGCCAGAGGGTTGTGTTTCTATCTGCTCTCGCCCCCTCCTACCCTAAACGCCAGTTGCATGACCAAAATGTCGAAGTTCAGAAAGAAAAAACGGAGAGAGCAGTTGCGAAGTTGGGTATTGATGGTTCGCAGGTTTGTGATGACTAGCGCGCCGGCGGGGAAAAAGTGCTGGGTGATACGTAGAGTGCCTAGAATTGAGTGCGCCGGCACTGTCCGTCCGCGGATGTGCTGAAATTTGTGCAGCCTTCACACATGATGGACAGGCTGGACGCTGCGATCGCAGTCCCTTGAAACCCACTTTCTCACGCCCACACAAGAAGCCTTGCGTCCCAACTTCCCGTGCAAAGTGCCATGCCGTCCGCACTGACTCCAAGACAGCTGACCCTGTTCTCGTGCGCCGTGAGCACTCCAACACGCTCTCCCTTCAAAGTGTCCCACACGTTGGTGTTGTAATCGTCGTAGCCAGCAAAAAGCAGTCTACCAGAGACTGAGAATGCAACGCTCGTAATGCCGCAGAGAATGTTGTCGTGGGTGTACTGATTGAGCTCCCTATCAGCGCGAAGATCGAACAAACGACATGAGGCGTCGTCTGAACCGGTTGCGAAAGCGTCTCCATTTGGGAAGTACCTGGGTAGAGATGACAAGTATAAATCCGTGAGAACCCGGGCATCATAAGCGCACGAAATTCCTCAAGGGACTCACTGGACAGCGTTGATATCGCTCTCGTGGCCGGAAAAAGTCTGAACCGCCTTGCCGGTGCGGATGTCCCAGACCTTGGCGAGTGCGTCGCACGCGCCCGAAACAAAAGTGTTTGGTTTGGGGCCAAGAGACAAGCTGTGACGTCAAATAGGAGGTCAGCATGCGCTTTCACCCGCTTGCATAATCCGTTTTGTGATGAAATCCGTTGCAGCAGGGTCTTTCCTGTCCTCTTAGGCTGCATCTGCACACAATGCGTAATGACCCATGCTGACTCGGCGCGCCGCACTCACCTCATAACGTCGCCGGTGTGGTCGTTGAACTCCATGACTCGTACTCCTGCATCAATGTCCCAAAGCATGCAGGTCATGTCCCCAGACGATGTGAGGATCTGTCGGTCGTTCAAGAACCGACAGCAGGACAAGTAGCCGGTGTGAGCAGAAAGTTGCCTGGCAACTTTGACCGTACCCTCTCTGGAGCGCAGGTTGTATATGCTGCAAATGTTGTCTAGACCACCGCACGCGACCAGGTTGCCAGATGGGGCGTACGCGCACGTCATGACCCAAGACGATCTCAATGGGATGGCGTGGACCTTGTTCGTCGTGTACGCATCCCACACAATAAGCTTTCCATCTTGCGATCCCGATACCAGATGACGCTTGTCCTCCGCCCAGTGCATTGCGTAGATCTTCGCCAAGTGACCTTTGCACGTTCTTCGTGGCTTCATGACGATGCGCGGCAGCGGGTCTACTTCGGCAGCCATGGCTCGCACTGTGAACGAGGTGACGCCTTCAACATTAGCAACAGATTCTTCCTGCGAGCCATTGCGAAGACAAATTTGAATCCGTCCATCGGCGCATGCCATTCGAGGTGTCTTCACTCGAGGCTAGAGCACAAAGTTTGCTCGCGTGCTACTGTACTCACATGAAGTGTCGGCCATTTTATCACGTCTAGCTCGCACCTGCTCCTTCAGGCTGTCCGCTTCCCTCCTGGCCGCCGCAATCTTCTCTTGAAGATCCCCGCCCGGTGTAGCCATGTTTGATCGACTTCTACGTGGGCTGGTGTTGGAACGCGGACTGCCGTGAGACGGGGAACCTGGCACGGGTGGGTAGAGGGACATTGCAACCGAGTCAGCAGGTAGGAGAAGTATGACGCTGTAGGGATGATCATCAAAGGGGACAAGCAACGCAAGTGGCGCGAAGGAGCACGAGAAATGAGGGAGGAGGGGCGCGAGGTGTTTGTGGTGTTGCGGATAGCGTCGTTGAGAACAATCGGCCAGCGGCCACCAACGCACGTGCGTTGTAAGCGAGGAAGGGTCCCACGCAACCCGAATAAAGAAGCACGGAACGAGCCTGCTGGGCTGATTGCATGCGCAAAGAGCCTTCTGAATAAGGTCATTGGTCGCGCTGCCCGTTATAGTGCTATCTCTGGCTTCGACTCGCTCGTGACGCAGACACCTCTCACCTCCCCTTTGCGCGCTTTGCCCTGCGACAGAAAGATCCACACGCGCACGCGGATGTAGCAATCGAACAATTTCACTCACCCAAGTAACCTTGATGATATCTTCGTCTACTGAAGATACGAGCACGGGAGACGCTATGCAGCGCAAGTCGTCCTTTCTCTTCTCGAGTGCAGTTCTGCCAGAGCGCCAAGTTTATTTGGCTTGAGGAGAGTACGAAGTGACTGACGCTTCGAGATGTCGTGGAGACCAAAGGAGTCGAGTCAAGCTCCAACAGGATGTGATGGCCTAAAGCGGGTCTGAGGTCGGCTTGCGCGGTGTCACGCCGTCTCGTACGTAAGGGGCTATTCGTGCTGGCAAGCGCGCGACGACCTCAGAGACTGGCTAGGCAGGGGGCGACTGCAGAGCGTTCGTCGCGTCCGTCGGAGAGAGAGAGGAGCAGGATGGACAAATCGATCACGCTCAATCTGACTGCGCAAATGGAGACGTTCGCGGCCCAGCTTGGCTGCTCGGATGTGAGGTCTGCAGAAAAGGAAGTCGGGTCGGTCAGGCTGAGGGGATTGCGGTGTTGTGTCTTCAATTGAGTGAGGAGAGGACGACGGTGGACTTGACTGACCAAGATGATCACGCACTGGTCCAAAGAGGACGAAATGAGCGCTCGACGCCTTGCCGTGGGCGCAAGTCAAGCTGGTGGGTCTAATCAGCTGAGCTCGCCCAGCCGTTGACGTCGGTCCTACCGCTGGTGGTGATGGGTCACTGCAAAGGTCGGCAGCAATTCTGTGCAATACTGTGTGAGATGCCAAAAAATTCAAGAGGAAGGCTTGTCGAACGCTCGCTAAAACGAGATCTAGGGCGCGGTGAGAGAAATCTGGGACGGCGTGAACGAGAGGTGCGAATCGGCGAGGATGGCGTTGGGAAGCACCTAATGGACTGGCGAAGCTGTCGTCTCGGGTACCTACGCGGTGCTGTAACGCATAGTCACCACTGCAGTGCGCCCCTCCAAGCGAGAATGATCGTCCTGAGCTTCCAGCATCAGCCTCGCAATCATCAGCTGGCTGCTGGCCCTCTGGCGCCTCGCGACTCTGCATTGGCCAATTTCCCCCGAGCAGACATCTGCATGTTGCTGATGCCTGCTGCTGCTGCTG